AAAAAAAAAAAAAAAAAGAAAAAAAAGGAAGTGAGATTTATCTATATAATATAAATCGAATTTGGCAAAGAAAAAGGAAGTAGAATTCATAGATAATTGATTTCCATTAAAAAAAAGGAAATATTCGATTCCTACCAAATCGATTCCAAAAAAAAGGATTCAAATATACATCCAAATAAATTACAATTGAAATGTAGGTGAAATTGTGAAAAAAAATTCAAAAAACTTTACTGAATAAAGTAATAAAACGAAAAAAAAAAGCAAGAATATGAAGCGGGAAACAATTTTTTTTTTTTTTTGAGTTTTTTGAATATTTTTTTTTTAACCGTATTATATAGTAATAGATAATAGATTAAGCACATTATTTAAATCATTGGCAAAAAATTTTAAATCAAAATTTTCACGATGGGCTTTTAGAAGTAAAAATAAATGAATGACGGAATATTTTTTTTCACAAAATTTGGATGATTCTTACTCAAACAGCTGGCAACTAAATTTGGATGATTTTTAACCGAAAATATTTAAGGAAATTTATGCGATTTATTTTGAGAATTATTGGCACACACTTTGCAAGAAATTAAGGAAATGATTTTCTTGTTTATTTGCAATAATCAGCCGGATCTTAGTAAACAAAATTTCACGTTTTAAAAAGTTTGAAATTGAAAATAAAATTAAGCCGCCCTTTTTTTAAAAATTTTCAAAAATGTTACTAATTAAAGTATAATCTAAATTTTTAGGCGGGAAAAAGACATACTATTTTCATATTTTTTTCTTAACTATATTTTATAGTAATAGATAAAAGCGTTGACGTAACGCTATTTTTGGTAACATTAAAAACAAACAACATTTTTGTATAAGCGTCATAATTCAATTATATTTTTTAAATAACGTCACCATGTTTTAAAATATCCCGATTCTTGTTTAATTATGTCACTAACTAAATAATTACACTTTTTATAAGTGTTGTTATATACATAAAAATGGTGACACAATTGTACAAGTGTCATAATATAATTATACTTTGAGGTAAATGTTGTCATATTAATACAAATTGTGACATTTTCTAAAATGGCGACATTATTTTAATACACTTTTAAAAATGTGTCGCCATATTACTAAACATGACGACACTTTTTTTATAAAATGTCATAATTTAATTACACTTTTAAATAAATGTTTCAATATTGATTAACACGGTGACACTTTATAAGAAGTGAAATAATTTGATTAAATTTAAAAAAGGAAAAATTAAAATTTTATCTTTGGAACACTTTTTAAAAAGCGTCACAAAAACGTCAATTTTAATTACACTTAATAAAATGGTCACTATATTTATGTCGTTAGAAGACCTTTTTGTTGTAGTATTCGCTATGTAAGTACACGATAAAGATAGACGAATTGCACATTATTCACCATCAACCTGCACATTAAAGGTCGAAACTTTCCAACCTCGAATTCTCGAATAGGAATTTTATATTACGGTTGGATTATCTATTTTTTACTTTTAAATCACTGTTATTTCAGGTCGATGTCGTCTTTAATATTTTTAAAAATAACCAAAATGATTTATTCGACCGAAGAATATTAAAAATATAATTTTTTTTTTAATTTTTTATGCATAGCGGGTGCACATTAGTGTTGTACAAATTGCACATTAGTTACTATTAGATCTCACAATATGTGACAAAACCGACCAAAACAATTTTTTCAGTTCAAAATTTTAAATTTCGGCTTTCATTATTTTTAAAGAAAAAAAAAACTCGTTTGTTTTTGGTTCTGATGTCAGTTTTTATTTTTTATATTTTTTAAATTACATAACCAAATGAACCATAGTCCAAAATGTATAAAAATATTATTATCATTTTTTATATTCTTTATGCAATATATTATCTATTTTCAAATATTAAATAAAGAATATTGAAATATTAATTGTAATTTAAATAATTACAAATTTGACACATAAACTTAATTGTAATATATGAAAATTACTAAAATTGCAATCAAGTCTTTAGGAATTATCAAATTCACAAAATGAAGTCCTTTGCTTATAATCCGAAACTCCCATCTCACAGGCTAATCTTCCCTGTCGCCGTCGACAACCGCGATCAGAGGCTCCACGCAATATTCGACTGTCGTCGTCGGGACCACCGTGACCCTCCGGCTCCATGAACGGCGGGGCTGAATTCTGCAATTACGGGCTGATGAAGGTCGGAGCTACGTCGAGGTAGTCAGAGACGTAGGACTGATGGAGGCGACGTGTTGAGACATAGGCGTGGATCGTTGGGGCGAACGACGGACAGTGTAACTGGTTGTGTGGCGGGGGTCCGACGGAGGTCCATGGATTTTCTCCGGTGGTCCGGCGGGGTTCAAATGTGCAGGAAATAGTCGACGGCAAATGTAGACAAAACATTATGTGCGTCGGAGTGGGTGTCGACATGGCCGCGGGCGGCAGTTGGCGGCAGACGGAGGTG